TGGTGATAAAACACCTTCAACAACTGCAGATCCAAAAGAAAACACCCCTGCCGACGATTCAGCAAACGGAACAACTGATTCAACAAGCGAATCAGATAAGCGAGAACAACTGAAAATCCACAAATGTCATTAATGTTTCTGGTCATTAGTTTGGCATGTACCGTTGCTCTTATGCCCTTTCCTGGTGCCCAAGCAAATGTATTTTTGTCATGGGCTCAATCTTATGCTGAATTCCATAATACATCTGATTGTTGGGTTTGCAGTGCTATGCCGTTGTCTGTTGGCAGCTTGCCTTGGTGGGTTATGCCTGTTACTAAACATGAATTTCATGCTATATGTGAGTTACTGTTACAACAAAAACAATGATATTTGTATTCTCAAAATGTGTCTGCACTTGACTGGCGTTCTGTAAAAGTTATGCATTCAGAATTCTTTTTTGATCTTAATGCTACAGAAAAAGAGGCTATAGATCTTTACCATAGGACCCCAGAACAAGCAAAGCAGCAAGAGGCTGACATATCTGGACAAGTTTACCAGATATGGGATGAATATATGTGGATTACACCAGAGACTGTACAATTGACGAATCCTGCAGATGTTTGCTGGGAACAAAAGGAACAACCTTGCGGATATAATGAAAGAAATTTAACAAAGAAAGACTGGAAATATTTGGGATATATATCTCAAAGACTTTGCAAATGGACTATAGATGTTACATTTATATGTAAAAAACCTTTTAAATGGCCTGGATCAGATTGGACAAATCCTGGAACAAAATGGATCTGTGGGACTAATGTATGGCCATGGCTGCCTTGTGGATGGATAGGGCGATGTACCTTAGGTTTTGTTATAGCGCCAGGCAGAATTGTAAAGTCTGTACAAGGCATTCCTGCTAATATGCCTAACTTACATGCTTGTTGGACTAGAGCAGCTTTTAAATGGTATGATTATCTTGCTGCTATTTTTATTCCTTCATTAGGAAATGTTGATGTTATGACTAAAGTAAACGCATTAACTAATTTTACACAAAAAGCATTGGTGGGTGTGAAACATGCAGTGGAAGAGTTAAATTCTGAACAGAAGCTTATGAGAAAAGCAGTATTACAAAATAGAATGGCTCTTGATATTATTACTGCAGCTCAAGGAGGGACTTGTGCTATTATTAAAGTAGAATGTTGTGTGTTTATACCTGATGTATCAGGTAATGTATCCCAAGCAGTAGAGGATCTGCAAGAACAGATAAAAAATATGGACTCTCCTTCTCCATTTCTTCCAGCACAATGGTTTGATTGGTTTAAAGGTGATTGGTGGAAACACGTTTTGGTTGTTATAATAATTATTTTGATCCTAATTTGTATGACTCCTTGTATACTCTCTTGTTTGTCAGACTTTGTGACGCAACGTATGCTAGCCTTTAACTGTATTCATCGACAGAATTAACAGCATGTCCTGGGCTTGGATAAACCTGGCAATTTTAAAATAAAAAAGGGGGAGTTGCGGGGAGCCACTCATGACCTGAAGACTGCCGAGCACAGAACGGGACAATAAATCCCAAAGTGCTGGCATCAGGCTCTGAGACTGATCTAACAAAGACAATCTCTGTCCCACCACCTCTTTTCAGGAAAGAATGCACCAGGTGATCTAAAAGCCCTAGGAACATCTTGAGCCATTAAGCTACTGATGATCTTTGAACAGAGAGATACAATCAACATACAAGTTAGTGATCTTAGTTTATAGAAACAACAACCTTAGTTAGTGATCTTGGTTTATAGAAACAACAACCTTAGTTAGTGATCTTGGTATGTGGGAACATATACGCTAGTTTATGAGTATTATAAACAACATTGATCTATAGAACAATGCACAAGTTAGTGAGTTTAGTACACACTGTGTTTAAACCATAAAACAATACCTGTGCCTACGTGCAAGAATGCACAAGGTAGTCACTTGAATTTGTATAAATTAACTGCCTGAAATAAACTCGAGGTCCACTCTTGGCTTAGCGTCTTGCGGGCTAGAGTGAGACCCTCTCAACCCCACCTTTTAGTGTCGTCTTTCTTTTCTCAGTCCTGCAACACAGGTTTCTGGACCTGCTCGTTGTCAGCTGGCTCCGACACAGAACAGAGTTTGCTTCTGCCTCGTAAAAGAGTCCAGGGTGTTGCCATCCAGGGATGGTACAGCAGATCTGCTCTGCAAAAACCCAAAAGGCCTAAACTGCTTTTGGGGATCCCTGAGGAAGTTGTCCCCATCTTCTTCATCCAAGATGGTGACTGGTATCAAAAGATTAAAAACCTGGTTAAAGATGCCAGGCTTTGCAATGAGGGTCCTGAGACTAACCACTAAGTGGCTTTATGGACACCGGGGATAGAGGAGATCCATGCGTAGAAACTACTTGTTCACAGCAGCTATTAATCCTTTCTTTAGTGGCTGAAATGACCCCTCCACTCTATTTTTATGTTGTTTTTCTATTTAATTTCAGAGATTCTATTCCTGGAAGAATAACTTACAGACTAGCATTCTGAAAATATGGAAGGAATTATAAAAGTGAAGGTTGCCAATCCGAGTGGCACTCAAATGTGAGGAACTGCTGGTCTTGAAAATTTTTTCCCATTAAATTCAGCTGATCATACTGATCAGTAGATAAATGTAAATAACTTCAAAATTTAAGTCTAGTTCAGTGTTTTTTCACTGTATAAAACAATGTCAGTGCTTTAACAATTCTCTTCTATATCATGGCGTTTTTCTACTTCCTTGTATATTACATTTTCAACTATTCATTTGTAAATGTACATGTAATATGCATTATTTGCCAGTTATATGCTGTAGGCTATGGACCTCATTGTATATAGAAAGATAGAAATCTGGCTCTACCACAAGTTGCAAAATGTTATCTAAGCACTAAGTATTTGTGGAATATAGACAGTGAACCTCAGTTCACTGTGTGATGTCAAGTGCAGAATGTATAAATAGCTGGTGATTTCCTCACATTTTGGATACTGTTTGTACCTGAAGGTTTTTCAGAAAGACATAGGTAGACTCTGTATTCCTTTTGTACTTTTAATACAATAATATACATATTTGTTACATTTTTGATGAAGGTGGTAGAAATGTTCTATATTTATTTTTCTGTATTCAATTTATTCAAGCTGAAAATAAATAAATATAACATAAAGCCTTATCTATTAAAAAAAAAAGAAGATAATGACTGGAGTGCTAGAGCCACAGCCAGAAGAGGTATCTGCACGCTGGACATCAGGGACAATGTGACAATGAATAATGGGCAAAGAGAACACGAGGTATTTTGTTTAAAAGGGTTAAAAAATTAACTATTTTAAAGTGCAAAATGTAATGGCATTTAGAATAGTCACAATGTTGTGCAACCACCACCTCTAACTAGTTCTAAAACATTGTCATCACTCCAAAAGAACCCCCACCCCAACACTCAATTAGGCAGGCAGTTTCATGATCATTCTGTTTTAAATGGCAACCTCTACACTCTCTATCCTCATTCCCTCCTTTAGCTCCTCAGGATTGCTAGAGACTTAGAACAACAGAAGTTTAATGCTTCACTGATAGAAGACTAGAAGTCTGTGATCAGGTTGTTGGCAGAGTTGGTTCTTTTTGAGTTTTAAAAATCTGTTCCACACCTCTCCCTAGCTTCTGGCAGTGTGTTGGCAATCTTTGGTGTTCCTTGTCCTGTGTGTAGGTCACTCTGATGACTGCTACATTCACAGAGCATTCCCCTTGTACATGTCTGTGTCCAAATTTCCCCTTTTTAAAAGGTATCTGTCATATTGGATTAGCAACCCAGCCTACTCCACTATGACCTCATCTTAACTAATTACATCTGCAATAGAATTATTGACAAATACGGTCACATTAGGAAGTCCTGAGGGTTAGGCCCTCAATATATGAACTTCGTCGGGGTGGGGGGACACAATTCTGCTTATAACATCATCCAATATACTACATATCTTATTTATTATGCTTGAGGTTTGTTTCCTCCCAGTTAAATATCAGCTGCCGGGACAGCAAGCGTTGTCAGTCTTCCCAAACTAGCTAAGCAATGAATGAACAACCAACAGTTGCAATGTAAATTTCTGGAGGACAGGAAATTTTTCAGTTTCGGACTCTGCTGAAACAACTTCACTTAGAATCTGACACTTAATAAATATTTGTTAGATTAAACCAATGACATTTAGAGTCAGACAGACGAAACTTGCCTTTATTTAATAGACTCCATGATAAGCAATCAGCATAATAATCACTTTTGGAAGAAAAAGAGGGGTATCTGCATTTCTGAAAATCTGGACATGAGAAGGGTATTCTCCCTGGGAGGAAATATTCTTTATTCATGACTGTTAATCATGATGTTAAGTGACTAATACACCAGAAAACTTAGAATTACTACCTTTACTACTTTCCTTAATTTTCCAATGAGATCTGAAATTTTCTACATTTTCATGGATGAACCATTTCCTTGTTTGTACCCTGTTAAAGTTACATGACATCTGTTAGACAAATTTTTTGGTGGTGATTACAAAACAATCTTGTTTTTTATAGAATAAGAAAGGAAAAATTTTATATGGCCAGGTAAAAAGCTTTGTGTGATAACATGAAAAATAGAACCGAACAAAGTTTAAAAGGGCAACTATTTAAATGCCTTAGAGAACTACTTAGAAAGGCCCAAATAAGTCATTTCATCAAGATCAGCAGGCTGTCAGCAGGTGGCGCTATTCCATCTTCACTTAGGAACCCTGCAAGCAGTCACCTTGGAAATGACTGAAAAACAATTGAAATAGTTTCCTTTTTTAGCATCGTAATTCAGACAAGTGATCTAGGGTTAAAACCGTTGTTTTTTTT